GCCGGCAAACATAACCATAACACCTCTACGTACTTTCAAATGAATGATATCGATGAATTGTTCATGGTCGTTGTGAGTCTTATTACAGATAAGGAGGGCAGGGTTGGCGACGAGAATACGGGTCCCTCCTTGTACCACAGGTAGCCTTTCCCTAACTTCCAAGTGGAGGGGGGGGGCGGGTTAGAGTTAGAGCCAAGGTTAGGATTAAACTTAGGAGGCGAGAATAGGAACGCCCTCCTCTCCTAAAACTTGGAGCGAAAGTACCTGTAGTTATGAGGGTTCATATTCCCGTGTCCGACCGATGTCCTTAAACTACTAACTGCATGTGTTTCGGATAGCACGTAATACTGTATAAACAATAGTCCTCCCGCATACGCGATCGCCTAGAAAATTAGTTGCATTTCGTAAAAGCGTCTCACACTGTATACTAGATCCCTTGCACATGAAAGGACAGGTGTCCCTATCCAGCGCTAACGTACCGAAGTTCTTCAGACGGCCCGACGCAGAGTAACTGTCTGTGAATGCCTTCTGTTGTCAAGCGACATGGCGAACCGTAGTTTTGTCTTCAAATGGACATGACTAAACTTTCACTACAAGGTCATTGCCTAGGTAGCCTTTGAGATTCTGCAATCAATGCATCAGATATTTAAGGCATATTTTGATGAATTTATAGGTAATTCTTTAAACTGAGTAGGTGCCGACGAGGCGCCTGGAAGAAGGTGTTCGTAGGAGTCGTTTATGCATGTTGGCTCTGGGGGCCACATGCTCGCCAGACGTCGCATACTTGACTTATCCACCAATATATACGGATGCATTGGCAGTAAGTGCGTGTATAGTATCCCGTGTCAACGAAAGACGCTTTTTAACATGTTCTGGAAGCATTAAATGGTACAGGAGGAATTGAAGGAGAGATGTTGTCACTATCTACTGACATATCACGGTACATGTCCCAAAATGTTATTGGTTGGCTCCTCGAGCACACAGCCTATCCGCAGAGCTTTTTAAACAGATGTCAGTTACTGTTCAGGTTTATGGATTCGCGAGTCCGCATATGGCTGTGTATGTTTTTATTTGACTGAATCACAGGGTTCGACAATCCTAAACACTGAATTAAAGTTTACCAACACCTGTTAGTAGTGAAACAAAGTATCCCGAATCGGGATGACCAAACTGCACACAAGAACGATTGTCCGCACATTTTTTATTCCAGTATGTATTCAGTTTTGTTCGTTTTTTTAAACAGCAATAAGACACTCTTTTGTTCATTTTCTGGTCCGAATAGCCATTCTGGATGCAATCACTAGATAAGACAAAGCGGTTTTCTATAATCTATAAAGTACTTGAAATTGATTTGGTTATAAGGACAGTTTTCAGCCATCAGGACTTGAAGAGAGTCCGCGTTGCTCGCCCAAAATGCCCTGAAATCCCTGCAGTCATATCGCACACGCGGAAAGCAGTGACATAAGGAATTGGGAGTTTATTTGAAACCCATTCCATTAATCTACTGAAATTCCTTCGTGTTTGCTATTCGTCCCGACTCTCAACAGATGGCCTTTGTTTTAGACTTTGCAATTTCAGTTTTTTAGTAACCTCATGATACCACCCCCGACCTACGTTTCGGCATGCACATTTCATTCATTTGACTCTACGTCAGTTTTCTGCATGGAGATAATGGCTTATTGCACAAATTACTTTACCAGTCGGCTCAAGGTGGCAGAACACCATACTATCAATAATATTCCCTGGCCTGTCTGTATTCATGGGCCGAGATAGGATAACTTCCGTTGACTTCTTGCCTCAGTTCGTAGCGCCGACAAAGGCAAAGAAAATGGCATGAACACTTCCGACTTCTTGGCCTCCGACCAATCATACCAAGGTTGGATGCCTGTAGAAGCCGTGATGTGAATCCGGGTGTTTTGCCTTGCAACCAAACGCTCTGATAGCTGCTCAACGTGCCCGCGTTCCGCCGGCTGCGACTGGAATTTTTCGTGGAGTACATGGGTGGAATGCTGTTCATTAAATTGTACTAAACCAGAGGAGAAGGAGTACGAGCCGACACAAGTCGTCGCCTAAAAATTAGAAATCGTTGAGCACTTACGTCACTCAACAATGACGTAACTGCTTTGACGTGGTTTTGGACATTTAGGTGTTTTTTGCTGCTTAAAGACTACTACAATCAAAAACGCAGCATCATGTGGCCTACAAATAGCAAAAAAGACAAATTTAATGGGAAGTGGTCAAACAAAATCGATTGTCCACTTTCGGTTTACCAACTATCGTCATAAGGTTACCAAATTCGTAGTCTTGCAGCGAAACTCATAACGTTGAGATATTAGTAGATGGTCCGTATCCTTTGCTTGACTGCATGATGGGTCAAAATGTAGCAAGCCAAGCGGCCGTAATGCTGTGGACGAGGTGGAGGCAGAACAAATGTCTTTCGGATGGTAGTTTAGTGGGTGGTGATATGAATATCTCGCGTTCCAACTGAAGCCGTAGATCTTTAGACACCGATCCTATATGGCATCGTGTATTACCGATCTCAGAGTAATAGTGTTGGACTTATATTCCTAAGACCCCACTGCATCATGGCTCAAATTACGAAAGCGGTCGACTAGGGATTCGGTTATAACAGATAGATGCGTCAACAAGGCAATAAACGGACATATCAGGTAACCTCACCTGGGGGCACCTCCTATCGTCTACCTTTTTAAAGCCGTTTGCATTCCCTCTCCATTCATCAACTTGCCAATGTCTGTTGATGAAACTGTTCCAGTCGTGAGTCGGAATACTTCCCACTACCAACTCCGAAACTAAACTTCGACCGTACAGAGCTTTTTAGAGTTCAACTGCATTTTCGTCTTTAATGGGGAGGTGTTCGCCGGGAGGGCCGTAGTAACTGCCGACCAGCGTTCGTCCATCCAGAGGGACCTTGTACCCTCTGCACAGCTGACACTACGAGATGTACAAGTTACGTGCCGCACCAGGGTGGCGCAGAGCACTGGCCAACTTAACTCCAGGTTTTATAGAACGTCTGAATCACACCTTACAATGTGATCTATGCCTCGTGTACACCGGCTTCTGCAGTCGCGTAGCAGATACTCCTCCTGCAAACTTTCAACCACAGATACATCTCTCTTGATGAACTCTACATTAGTGCCGCAGAGGTACTGAAAGTTCGCATGCAGCAACATCTAGCTACAGAGAAGGCGACGGTCGTCGGATTACGCAACCCGTTCCTGGGCGGGAACAAGAATGAAGTTCAACTCGTAAGACTGCCGAGCCCAAAGTTAATTAAGTTAATACCCGCATGCAAGCCGACCGAACATAATTGTCGGGACAGGTTGTCTTGGCTTCCCCCTCCTCTTTAATTGCTCTCACCTTGTAAATCATTCACCCCCATTTCGTTATTTGCTACCAGCATCCAATGTCTGCCGTATAACTACACAGGTCAGATAAAAAGGAACGAAAATTTGTGTTTGCCCGCGATAAATCATCAGGGAACACAACACTACTTCCCGGTGGGAATTGAGAATTCAAAGAATGTCGATAAAGGAAACAGGGGCCCACACATGTCCCCAAAGTTGCTAACTCTTATTTTTGCCCGGCAACTGTCTTTGTGGTCTGGTCTGGTGAGTATTGATGAACTACAAACCCTCCATACTCGAAAAAATGGCCTCAGTAGAAGTTGGGGTAAGACGTGGGAACAGCCTCTCCCCGGGGTAATTCAGGTCTTCTTCGCAAAACTCCAGAAAGGGTAGGCAGTCCCTGGCTCTAACACTATCCCAAACCTGAACTCTAGCCATAGCCACACTTTAACACGAACCTTAACCCTAACGCTAATCTCCATGAACTGCATGATCTTAATAGGGGTGGGGGAATACCGACTTTTCCAATGCTGAAAGAGTGTGAGCAAGGCTTCATATCTGAAAGAGGGTCCTGTCCTGCGTCCGTTTCCGTCCTTCAAAAGGTACTGCATATGATCAGTCGTCGTCACAGCTTCTGCTTCTTATCCAACGGCGAAAACAGGTTTGCCATCAGTCTTCGTAGTCAGAGTCTGTCAAAAAGTCCATTATGTTTCTCTTCGGCTTCTCAGCTGGCTCGTCAACAGTTTGTTCGGATAGTTTGTCAAGCCTAATAACCATTTCTATGACTTTTGAGGTAACTGACAGGCCTGACCTTTCCCTATTCTCAGCACCTTAACCCACAGAAGAGGGTATGTCCTGTCGGAGCGCCTCCGCCTCTTAAACTACAGGCTGCATGTACGTGACTGCAGTAAAAGTTTGTCAGTTTTGACAGAATGTGTCACACTGCGGACACCCTTTTCTTCCGTTACACGTGCGTTACATACACCGACCAGTTAAAACCTGACTCAACCAACACACGTGCAAAAGTTATTGCATTACAGATAACAACAGGCTGCGTGTCCAAACCTGCGCCCGGCTTATTCTCGTTCACAAACAGCACTAACGACACGTTTAAATTGCCGGCTGAGTGCGCACGCAATCCGACTATTTTTGGTAAAATGACATACCTTTTGAAATTTTGAATATATATGCTAGTAAATTAGATACCTTATGTCAGATGAAGGGTAGAAATCGCTCAAGGCATTAAGGATTCCTAGTTTAAAACCACCAAATAACAAGGCGTTTTGAGGAGACTGAAAATTTCCAAACTTTTATCTACCATGGCCTCGGAGAAAGCAGGCCAGAGAAGGGTTGTGAAGGGGACGATAGCTGAACCCTCCTTTCTCTGGATAAAATAAGTATTGGTGTTTTGCCCAAGCAGAATTGGGGTTTATTCTGGGCGGAAGTCTGCAACGTGAATATATCAATGCAGACAGTCGTAAACTGACTTGCTTGTTGGGGTTGAATCCATAGTCTTACAGTTAGATTGTCAGACTCGAGCTGTTCCGCATGCACTGACGTCTTGTCTTCGTCGTTGCTGCTGTTGTTTTTGCTGCCGTTATTGTTCTTATTGTTGTTGTTGGTTTCGATATTGTCATGATTAACAATATTAATAGTCGTGGTGGTGATGATGATGGTGCTGATGATGATGATGATGACGATGATGGTGATGATGATGATGATGATGATGATGATGATGATGATGATGATGATGATGATGATGATGATGATGATGATGATGATGATGATGATGATGATGATGATGAGAAATACTGTTTATATGTAGCGGCATCTGGAATGCCTAGTCAGAGCTGGCAAGACAACACCAAAGCATCGGGTGCACGGGATTAGGTGTAGTTGAATTTGCCTTAAACATCTCACATAAAAACTTTTATAATATGGACGGGGTGTATCCCAGTGCACCTCTCAGAAAGAGGGACCATACTACGCAAACATGCGATTACTCGCTCTTCTCTCAACACCAGAAGAGAACGGAGGGCCAAAAATATGTGTGGAAGGCAGACTTTAACACGATGAAGAATGAATTGATGTCCGTGAACTGAGACTGCTTGCTCAAGAGAGATCTGGAGGACAACTGGAGATCGTTGATGATGATGTAGATGATGGTGCATGATAATGGCTTAGAAATCTTTGAAAATGGCGGGAAAGCCGGACACTTGGGATGGTACTTTTCCCCGGTTTTCACTAGGGAAATAGTTTCGTACTCGCACTGCCAGCAGTGCTGTTGAGACCGCTGGTCCCGTGCTTAACTCCATACTTTTCCCGACATCTGTCTTGGAAAAGGAGCTACAAAATCTGAAAGAAGCAAAATCCTCGGGTCCGGACAATATACCGGTAAAATTCTTGAAAGAAATGACGAACGAACTCTCCATACCACTAACGCACATCTCCCATTCGTCCTTCACATTGGGTGGGCTGCCATCCAATTGGAAGACAGCAAATAACTTTCCGATGCACCAAGGGTGGGGCTCGCGTTGATGTTAAAAATTGCTGGCCTGTTATTCTCACCTGCATCTACTGTAAAATAATGGAAGCCATAGTTAAGAAAATAACAATGCAGTTCCTGTAGCAGAACCAGAACCGCGCTGCAGCACGGCTTCAGAAAGAACCCCTTGTGTTTTCCCAGTTTATTGCTCTCGACTGAGCAGTGGACCTGCGCACTGGACGATGATGGTAGGGTCGATGTCATCTACACGGACTTGAAGAAGGCGTTCGACAGCGTTGCACGCAAACATCTTATCTACTAACTGTTCGAAATTGGGATAAGAGGAAAGCTGCTGACATGGGTAACAGATTTCTTGCGGGGAGATCACAGACCGTGTACGTTGAGGCCTCGAGGTCAAATCCTACCTCCGTTCTAAGCGGTGTCCTTAGGGCTCGGTCTTGGGGCCCTTTCTATTCCTAGTTTACATAAACGACTGCGTCGACGACCTAGGATGCAACGCCGTCATGTTCGCTGCGATGTTAAGCTGTGTAGAACCATCAGATCAGGCGCAGAAAGCTACGCGCTTCACGACAGTCTCAACCGCCTGAGCAGTTTGTCAGTTCGTTGGCTTCTCAATCTTAATGTGGGAAAATGTATGTAGTCCTGAGACTCCGCACCAAAAAGACCAGAAAGGAGAATGATTCTTTGACGGGCAGTACCTCTCAAATGTTGCGAAACAGAAAGACCTCGGTGACCTAATGAACTCGCTTAAACTATCGTCACAGTGTCAAAGGGCAGCCAAACACGTGATGCGAGTGTCATTTTCGCCGAGGCGAGGAGTTGTGGGGATCGATAAAGAACTGTTCGGAAAAACCTACGGGGCACTTGTTCGGCCTCATTTAGAGTATGCAGTCCAGGCCTGGCGACCGTGGTTGAGGCAGGAGTATCAACAACTGGAAAGAGTACAGGCGATAGCTACGCAGGTGGTCAAGAATCTTGATCACCTGCCTTACGAAACCAGACTGGCCGAACTAAATCTGTTTCCCCTCCATCACAGGCAACTGCGCGGAGATCTCATCCCAACCTATCGGATTATCAGAGGCCGTGAGTGCGCCCAATATTGTGACGAAGTCATTGAATTGGCCGGGACGGACCGTCTGCGTGGTCATTCCTCTAAACCGAAGAGGAAGGTGGCCCATGCGGACGTCCGACGGAACGCCTTCTGTCACGAGGTCATTGGGGCGTGGAACGGACTCCCTGATGCGGTAGTTCTTTCAAAAATTGTTAAATCCCTTAAGTAGAGACTAGACGCCCATTTGCTGATAAACTACTCAACATATAATCACAACTGTTTTAGCGACGGCAGTTTGCGCCTGGATCACACTTACCGTTAACTTTTGCATTTCCAGATTTCCTGGTGTAACAACTGAGTTTATTCCTGTTTATCGATATGAATAGGGAGCCCAAGGGCGAAAGCCTCATCCCCTTAATAAACAGACTTAAAATGACTATTTTCATTGTTAACGAGTTTGCACTCCGAATTGCGAATCAGAGTTGTGAGTTCCTCTGTGTCCGTTCTCCGAAGCAGCTTCAAGCCCAGCATCATAAATGAGTTGTAGGCTGTCAATTCATCCCCAGGATTGCTGTGAGGCCCAGAGGTCGGCAGCATTTCGAAGATTGTGGAATTGCAGAAGGCGGTGTAAGTAAGTGAAGGAGAAGAGTCGAGCACTGGAACACTGTGTTTATTGTCCTGAGCTTCCAGACTCGTGCAGGTGTCCATCGTCAGAGATAATAGCAGCAACAGAACAAGCGACAGTTATAAGGCACGTAGGACTTATGGTGTAGCTGCTTCGAAGAGTTTGCTGTCTATGAGGCGAGTCTACATGCATTCGTCAGCACCAGTGGACAATCGGAATTAGCCAGCAGTTCGTGATGCCCACGCCTACACTGTAGCTGTCGGCAGCGAATATAATGACACCAACGACTACTTGCTCTTTTCAGCATGTATAAGTTGTTTCTGATAGGGGTCTCGTTCCGGACACTTCAGTACGGTGTATATAGTTCGCTATGGGGGTCGGGCTTGTTTATGCGTCCCCAGGTGGGACGTGAGGACAGGAGTCACCCATAAGGCTGGTGGTTTTACGCCAAGTTCCAAGGAAATAAGGGAAATGGTTAAGGTTGGGGTTAGGATTAATTTTAAGGCTAGGTTAGGGTTAAAATTGGGATTTAGCTTAAGGCTAGGGTTACTGTTGGGGTAATGCATGGGGTTAATAATGAGTTCAGGGTTAGAGTCAGGACTAGGATTAGTGTTGGTGTTGGGGCACGGGGATATTTACCCTTCCCGAAATTGGAAGCAAGAGCATTTGCATTGTGTGGGCGGACCGTCCCTATTTCAGTGCCCTGTTTGGGGAGCCGCATGTGCAATTTCGACTGATTTGCGATTTTAGACGGCCGATAATAGCAAACAAGAAGTCCAATGAGACTGTTTCTGAACTCGAGTTTTGTCGACAAATGAGAAGTACCATATTTGTGGATTCTAAAGCCTTTATATTGTGCCGTTGCCCGTAAAACCCTCGTTGCACTGCTCGTTTTTCGGCAACTACTCCATTCTGAATAAAAATATTTACCTTTAGAAGTTAAGCTAGCACTTTTAGAAAAGGAATTACATGGTGGGCTATATCCATACTGTTAGTCATGGCGTTGCAACAGCATTTATGTCAGCAGAATCGATAGTTTTTAACATGACAGTTAATCACTTTCAACGCTATTGTATCTGTGCCATCATGGCGGCTATTCGACTGCACTAGTCTATTCAGAAATAGAGACATTTTACGTCTGGAAAGTTAAGATGAATGATGGGTGTTGGACCAAGTTGGAAGGTGTTTTTTCCGATTACAATCTTCAACAGTTTCAATGACAGCGATACTTCATCCCTTAGCCAAGGGCCGGCAAACCAACATCTTGTAGTTTAACACCGTGATTGTGTGAGCTAGTGGAATACACATTTTGGAAGATCAATTAGTATCCCAGCTTTATCTTAAAAAAATCGTTGATGTCCTTCGCCCAGGCCGCTGATGTCCTGCATGCATGCATCCACTTCGTCCGGCACTGGCGTCCATACGAACTTCTATTAGCCAGAGTGGCTTAAGGTCATAAGATAGAAAGGCGGTCACCGTACGCGTTACGGAACTCACTCGTCCCGTTGTGCCTTAGGGCTCTCTCTCAAGCCCAACCAGCAGTCGCACAGCGGTGCGTACTATAAGCAGAGTAATATTACCGACAAAGACATGGGAGACTGGAGTGGTTATCCATATTTCCGGGTTAAGTATGACTGGCTGACGACGGTTAATAAGCCAGAAATGACCATTTCCTTGTCTTTGTTGATAATGTTATTAGGGTCATATCCTGCTCCACCACGAGCATAAGCATCAGGAGTGTACAAATGCGGTC